ATTTCTAATCTTTTTTTCCTTCTTTGAAATGAGAGAAATGAGGATCATGATAAATTGTTGATTCTGGTTTCAAATTCAAATCTTGCAGATAATGGTCAGTACATGATGAATGGAGATGAACATTTTTTGGTTCTGAAAACGAAAACAGAAATGAAAAATTTCAACAGATAACAAGAGAAAAACAAAATTTTTGCCAATTTTGATATTCAGACAAATCAGTTGTTATTCATAAATCTTGAAATTTTATGGTTTTCCTTTTTTCCATGCAAAACAGTTATCCATCTAGATAAATGTCGGCTTACATGCGATTCAATAAAAGCTTGACACTTAAGCTTGAAACGTATCGCAACTTTATTAAATTAATAATCAGTCAAGTTTTCAAATGAAAATTAGTTGAAAAAACAAAGTAAAATTGAACTGCATGAAAAGAAAATTTTCTCTCCTCTCTGTCAATATCAAGAACAAACAGAAAAGTTTCAAATTATCACAATAAACCCTTGAAACTGAAGCAGCTATTCAGCATTTTGCATCTTTCATTTCATCACATTTCACAACTTTGTGTACATTTTGTTTACTTTTTGTTTACTTCTTAGTTTGTTGAAAAGATGTCAAGAGATTCATGATAAGAATGAATTTTCCTGAAAATTTTACACAATCGTACTCATGTATATACACATTAAATTACTCTCAATTATTCAATTTTTCCCTTCTTTTCCAATGAATTGTTTTCCAACATTCTATTTACTTTGGATTGAACAAAATTTTCACCAAACTTTATCTGGATTCCCTCTCAACTATTCGTAAAGGGAAAGTGGAACAAAAAAGATATCATTATTTTATGATGATTTTTGATGAACAATAACAACAACTCAGTGTATTCCATTGAGAATTCAATTGTAATGAAATGTTTCTCATTGAGAGAACAAGGAAAACTTTTGAAAGTTGACATTGGAAGACAAAGAAGAGAAGAAAACTAAAAGAGTTTCAATGGAAAACTGTAAATTGATGAAAAGAAAGGAATGGTGATGATGATGAAAATTGATGTTAAAGTTAAACAGATGATGATGATGAATGAATAAAAGACTGAAAATGATGATTATATTACAATATTGTATTTGATACGTGATCAAATAAACGTATTAATAGTAAAGAGTGAAAACTAAACAAATAAACAAAAGTTAACTAGCAGTGAATTGAATGGACCATTAAATGTTTCAACGTGATAAACGTTTTTCTGTTATCATTTTTCCCCTGCAAATGAAAACGCTTTTTCCGGTTAATAAAATTAGCATTAAAAGTAACTCTTTATGGACAGAAAATGTCTTTTTTTCAACATTCCAATTCCAATAGCCATTCAACTCTTCATGAGAGAAAATTTCTTTAAATTAAAGATTGAAATTCTCTAGCTTTTCGTTAAAATGAATCTAACTCTCGTAAAATGACAAGAGTTGAAATAGACTTCAATAGACTTTTCATTTTTGAAATTGTTTTGCATTTTAGAGAAGAAGTTCATTCATTTTTAAAATTTTCTGAATGCAGGTGGAACTGGGAGTTTGACTGGGAGTTGAGCGTGGAATTGAATTAGAATAACAGGGAATTTCAAGTTGAATGCATAAAATTCGATATTCATAGAGACTTTTTTACTCTTGATTCTCATCTTCTAATGCATGAATAAAATGAAGACATTTGAAATTGTAGAAAATTTCATTCTCGAAATTCAAAGCAGAAAATGGAGAAAATTTTGTTTTAAAATAATCTATTTTTTGGAAACGTTAATGAATCCATTTGTTGGAAGAAGAACATTTTTATTCAACTTTTTTCTGGTAAATATTTGAGTTTGCCTTTTTAATGGAATCGATTTTATTGAAACTCTCAATTTTCGTGTTTTTCCAATATTCATGAGCCATTATTTATGAAAAATTTGGTAAAAACTATTGACATCAAATTTAAATGAACTGTAAACAGTTTGAATTGAAATTCAATGGACGAAATGTTAATTGAATCGAAGCAACTTTCGTCTGATTTGATTAAATTGGTTCATTTTGTTGGTTAACCATGATACAACTTCATTCATTTGCGAATGAATAAATGAAAGAAAAAATTCAATAAATTGAATGAGAAACAAAAAGAACAACAAATTTTTCTCGTTTTTCTACCAAAAACTTTTTTCTCACTTTATCTTTCCATCTTGAACAGGAATCGTTTAATGTTGCAGTCGTTGTTGCCATTTTATTGCATTGATGAAAAGTAAAGCAAAACAAAACATTTTCACTTAGTTAATATTCTGAAAGCATTTCGCTCTTCCCGCAACTCATTCTGATTAGATTATTGATTTTTACTCTTTTCTCTCTCTTTTCATTTCTCTTTCCTAACCATAAGTTCATCATGCTTACCTTTCAACTTTTCATCCTGCCACTCTTCTTCTTATCACCCATCTTCTTGCCATTGTTTTTTCTTCCTCTTTACATGCCTTTTTTGCATCTTACACCTTCTTCCTCTTCTGCTTCATCATCATCTTCATCACCATCCAAAGGAAAACGTCATTCTATTCAATCTTCAGTTTGTTCCAACTGATATTTCTGTTTAACCTGTTTGACTGTTAAGATGGTTTCAAGGTAAAAGGCAACCTTCAATTGGTATTCAAAACCGGTATTTTACATAAGAGCTGCTCTCAATTTATTTGCTTAGTTTCCATTCCATCAGTTCTTGTTCATCTTCATCTGGTTAAAACCTTTGCTTTTTTACTTCCCTTTTGCCATTCCACTTTCCAATGGAAACACTTTGATTGACAAATTTAACCGATAAACAGATTGTTCAATTAAACTAAATTAAGCCAATTTTCAAGGGAAAAACAAGCTCGAATGCTGTCAAAGTTGAGCACAAAAAGTTGTCAACATTTTTATTTGCTCAGACAAGAAAAGGAGAGGAAAGCAGAAATGCAATGAAAATGCAATTTAAAATGAAAAAAGCAAGTCAAGGTGCAATTCAATAACCTGTTGATTAAAGCTCATTTCATTCATTGTACACAGTTCACAGTTCAATACAATTATTATCATGACTAGCTTTTCATGAGGCAACTTTTTTTCTTCGCTCTTTCATAAAAGCCAAAAGAAGAAAAAAATTGCACAAAAAAAGATGAAACATTTTTTCCATTTCATTTTCATTTTCCTTCTATAACTCTCATCGGCAACTCGATTAGGTTCGAGTTTAATGAGAAGATAATTTTCAACATTAAACTTCATCTCCAGTTGGGATCATCATAATCATCATATCGCATTATCATCATCATTTTTACGCTAAATCTTTGACTTTATCTTTTCTAATACAAACCAGATTAAGCGATTTCACCTTCTTACCAGATTCTAATTCTGAACTCTTTTTTCTTTCTCTCTACTCTACTTTTTGCTTACTTTTCTTCACCACACAAAATGATATCAGCTTCTCAAAGTGAATTGGGAATTGAATAGTTGATGGATTCAGTAAAGGATGAGACCGATGAGCCTCATGGTGGGAATGACACGTAGACACATGGAAAGAAAAGAGATGAAAAAAATGATATAATCAAGATTGATGAACTTCTCTCAAGTCTTGATAGATGAACATTATGATCAATATCAACGACACTAGTTTTTTTTGTCTTTCCTTTTCTTTTTCTCTTTTTCTTTCGTTCGACAACTTTTCTTTTCCTCATTTCTTGTTCATTAACGTTATCACTTGACAAAGAGTCAAAAGATGATACAATATAGACAAGACCAAAAGATTATCACGAAAAGTAAAACAAGAAGAAAAAACTTGTAAAATATCATTCGATTCACTGGGAGTGAGAAAATATTTTTTATCAAATTTTCAAGTTTTCTTGTTTTTTCATTATTCTCAGTTTTCTGTTTCATTTGAAAAAACGATTCAATTTCAAATTCAACTTTTTTCCATTCGATTTTGTTCTTGGAAGGAAACATTCCCTGCAGGGAAGGATTGAATAATGATGCCAACGAAACGGAAGCTCGTCGTAAATCAACTAGTAATTAAACTCTTTTCAATATTTACACTCATTTCCTCTGATTGCAACCCTTTCCGATTTACTTATTTTCTGTGACTTTTAATCGGTTCAAAGAAGTGAAGTAAAAAAAAGAAGAAAAATTTCCAAATTCGTTGGCAATTTTTCACAACTTTTCATATGCAAATTCAACTCAGTCATGGTTCATGACAGATGAACGGAAGTGTGTAGGTGTTGATTATTTATGCTCATCTTGAGACTAATTTGCAATGAAAATTAATAATGATAAAGAATGAAAATAATTCCTTCATTGAATAAGAAATAATTATCAATTGTATTCTTCTTTTGACAAAGAAAATAAAAACATTATTTCTTTCCATCCTTTTATTCCTTATTTCACCTTCCATTATTCAGATAAACTCCAATTCTCACAATAAAAGGCAATTGTAAAGTTTCTCATTCCCTGTAATAACTTAATCTACCCATTAAATGCAAACATTATCTTTACCAGTAAAAAATATTTTCGCTCGAAAATTTTTCAATGATTTAAAAATGTTCAACGATAATTTGAAAAAAGGATAAAAATACAATAAAATTATCAATTTCAATGTTTCCAAATACCCCTCTAATACTTTGAATGATCAAATGTAATTATTTCAATTTCGAGTTCTCACAGATTTGAAAATCGATATCATTATGATAGCGTTAGTTACAATTAAAAACGTGCAATTAATGACACATAAGAGTAAAGTTGAAAAGTTCATGATAATTTTATAATCAGTATTGATCCACTCAATTGTTTTACTATAAAAAATAAGTTTTTCATTCATTCGAAATGAAAAATATCGATTAATTTTGGTTCACAATTACATTAATATGATTATTTTGGTAAATCATTTGTTTCTATGGTAAATTGAATGTTCAATTATCAATAATTTGTTGACATTTGGAGTTGATTTTCATTGAAACTTGCACTTTTGTGAAACAAGAAAAAAGTTAAACTTACTTCGCATTTCAGTCAAACTTGGATCCATTGATGAATCTGAAATGATGAATGAAAAGTTAATTAGTTGAAATTGGCTTAAATACTTTTTCCTTTCAATTCCCTTTCATCAAATAAGATGACGAGGAATGAATGTTGAGGTTGGAGAGGAAAGGTTATCATGATTAATATCATTTTATTCATTTGCTCGTTCCATTCTGTTTAGCCTTTGCTCTTCTCTTTTTTTTATTGGAAGTTGAACAAAATTCTGATTTCAAACGTTTTGACTTTTATTATTCTGATTTTGTCTCTTTATCAATGCCATTACAATGGGAAAATGTTTATTCCCAGTTAACTTAGTTATTACATATTCAACAGTGAAAAAAAACATTTTACCAAGTGAATCAGAATAGGAAATGGGAATGAACAGAGGAAAAATAGAAAGTGAAGAAGAGAGTGAAAATAAAGTTCCATTTTATTCATTATTCACAATTGAACTCGAGATTTGGAAATCTCTTCTTTTCAAGTTCTTCAAGAGTTTGATGGCAGCAGACAAAAAAAACCATTTTTACAGAAATGAAAGAGTTGATAATGACAATAGAAATTCAAATTTTGGAACATTTTTCTTTTATATTCAATAAAAGTTGCTGTTCATTGCTTCTCATTCCACCTGAAAAAGTCGCGATAAAACAATGAGAATTATAATTGCAACAATTCTCATCAACTTTAACTGAATATTCATTTCCTTTTTTTACCCTTGAAACAACAATTTCCATGACAGGTTGAAAGGTCACAAGTTCAGTAATTGCGGGTTTTTTGTTTACCTTTGAAAGGTCATTAATATTTGACTGATGAAGGTTTAAGTGATGTTTAAAGTTGTGAACAAAATAATGTAAAGTTGATGACATTTTTACCTTTCAAAGAGTGAATGGAAAGATTAAAAGGTTTGGATTTTTTGTTGGAAAAAAAGTTTCAATTGAACGCAAAAATGATTTGATGAATGAAACCACAAAAGAAGAGAAGAAACCATTATTGTTACATCATTATTGTGTTTCAAGTTGAATGATCTGTCGCCAAGGAATCATAATGATCATGATTATGGTCAGAATAAGTGAGAAAACTTAATTCAATTAGAAAAGTTGAAATGAACAAACAACTGTAAATGATTATTTTAACCATTTTTTCCTTCTTCTTTCTTCTATTTCAGTTTCAGTTAAATTGATGATGATTGTTAACATGCTAATGACTCGGGTAAACAAGGTTGTTGGCTATAATACAATTAGCAAATTATCAGGTTAAAGTTGCCAAAAATAGAAGAGAGAAAACAATCAATCCCTGAAAATTCATTAAAGAATAAAGAAAAGTTGGAAAAAGAAAAATTGCCCAAATTTCAATTTAGATTGTGTATTATATCAAGTATTGTACATTTTTATTGGTCACGCAAATTCAAATCATTCATTGATTAATGGTTGATACAAAGACAAACATGAATCTGTTTTGATTGCATGATGAGAATCATTTATACCAATCATGATTAATTACTTCAAAGTAACAAAAAGTAGAGAAAAGCCTTTGGAAATTGATGAGAAAAATATTTCAACATTTTTGCGTTTTTCAGAAAAATTTACATTCTTTTTAAAATTACATGACTTTCAATAATTAGCTCGTTAGAACTTTCAAGTAGGTTCGAATTTTTAAATTCATTAATGTCTTCTTTTCGGCAATGAAAGTCATTTGATTGTGTTTGTGATCGACTTGGTTTTGGCAATAGTCGAGTTTTGAGCTAAAATAAGGTAATTTGATTTTGGGTAAAAAAGGTGCAATTATTCACACTTTCGATTGTAATTCATGTTTTAATTTTAAATGTTTTTCATCATTTTCATTGCGTGTAATAATTTCATTAGTTTATTGTTGATATAAAACTGATTTCCATGTAACACATAAAGGAAGAAAAATGTTATTATAATTTAACCTTTTCATTCTACTGATAAATCAATTATTCTGACGGTGAAAAAGACTCATAAGGATATCGAATGTCAATATTTTTCAGTTTTATTTTAAAATTTTCACAATTAATTATTAACAATTGATCAACTTTAAAAATCAATTTTGGACTGAAAAATTATTGGTAAACTCGTTTCCATATGAAAAGTGGAAAATGTTTATTCTTGTAGTTTTACAAGTTGAAAATCAAATCTTACAGCCTATTGAAAAATAATCAAGTACCAAGGTTCATGAGAAACCTACATAGAATAGATTTCAATATAAATTTCAGGAGCAAGTTTTGGATATTATTAAAGTCGAAAAACTGAAAAAATATTTCAAAAAATCAACCATTGTTTGATTTTCTAGATCTCTAAATAATGTTTGATTGATCAGAAAATGACAAATTAGTCAATTTTTTAATGAATTCATCATCCGATGGTTTTCTTCCTTTTTTCTTAATTTACAATTCAATTGCACATCTTTTTAATCAATTATAAATAAATGCAAACAAAACTAAACTCCTTTGCATTGGACGTCAAAGTGTTTCACTTTGCTCACAAGTTTGCTTAGTAATGCTTTCCCTCTTTTATTGACATTCAGTGTTCTTTAAGCACGAGGAAAAGGGGGATTAGAGGGGTCCGTTTGAACATACGATTCCCAACTTCCCCGAAAGGTGTGCAAACATCAATTGTTTTTTCCGTTCTAATAATAAGCTTACGTTTTGCATATTGTAGCATCAACCGTTCATGATTAATGCCTCCAAACAGACGTAAAATGAAAAAACGCTCGTTGTATTTGAGTAATTAAGCAAATCCACCTGGACTTTATGATGCTTAAAAGAATAGTATAAAAGGGTATAGATTCAATTGAAACGATATCAGTTGCAAATTAAATTCTAAATAGTAATAAAGTGAGCTCTCAGTTCTTTGAAAACTCAAAACTTACTAAAAATGCATTTCATTAAAATTGTATCCGTTATTTTCTTGATGGCTATCATCGATATGTTTTGGTTCTGTTTCAGGACAAACCCCTGCTAGTAAACCGGTGCGGGCAACGGCACCATCTATCGATATTGGAACTCCAGATAGATACGGTATTTACAGATTTATGGGCACGACTTTTGATCCTAACTCACCTGCTAGTAAATTGATGCGAGCAACGGCACCATCTATCGATATTGGAACCCCAGATAGATACGGTAATCACAGATTTATGGTCACGAATTTTGTTCCTAACTCACCTGCTAGTAAATTGATGCGCGCAACGGCACCATCTATCGATATTGGAACTCCAGATAGATACGGTATTTACAGATTTATGGGCACGACTTTTGATCCTAACTCACCTTCTAGTAAATTGGCATGAACGGCAACACCTAATCCCACAAAACCTATACCCATGAAATAAGCTGGCAAAAAAATGTTGTCATTTAGAATTATATTGATAATTTATGACTAACCAATTTCCCTGTTTGTTAACATGCGAACTCATTGTGCAACGTTCAATATGAAAAATTGCAATAAAACTTGTTCAAACTACTTTTATTGTACAATTTATTCTTATTTCAATTAATTTTTGTAGTAAATTTTGATAACCAGTTACTGTTTGACAAATTCTCGATATTATAAGCCATATTAAATAAAAGACACACATAAACTCCAGATAATTATATCAATATAAAGTACCAAAAACAAACTGAGCCCATAAACTGAAGTATATTTTGATGTTGACTTATTTATCATTGAATTGTCATTAATAATTATTCAATTCAGTTTGACATTTTAAAGACAAGATTCTAATACTTGAAAATGAGTGTTAGTTAACTTAACGATTACCAAAACATTTCGAATGGATGTCACACAACAATAAAACGATCTTATAATCCTCAACAATTTTGTATGCTTTTATATCGAAAAGTTTTCACATGTAAATGGTGTGCTTTGGCATCGAATTTAATGATTTTCCCGGGCTAGGGCTCTGGCTCAATAATTCATTACTATTACTGGTACTCATTAGTAATGAATCATTACTAGCATCTACAAGCTTGGGACGGGAAAATGCTTGTGAAATTGTATATGATAACTTCAAAGCAAGTTGATGGTGGATTGACAATTTCAAGCAGAATGATAGATTTGTGATTCTCAAAATTACACGCATTTCGAACAATCGTTAAATGGTCAGTGAAAAGCAAATGATTGAGAGAGATCGCTCATTTGTAACTGATTTCAATGAGTTCACACAAAGTAATGGGTATGCTTACGATTTTATATTCAATCCAGATCAAAGCAAAAATGAACATGAGCTTGTTTTCAGCAGAAAGTTTGCAAATAAAGCGAATAAGACTACTATCAATATAAATACAGCCACGGAAATTGAGTTGCAAACAATTTTTACAAATTTAGCGCAGGTATTGATAACTTATCAATTGAATATTTGATAAGAAAATTTGATTCAGATAATGAGTTGAGCTGAGACATGCTTTCACTGTTTACATTAAATTCAATTCAATTGACACGTTTTCTGTTTTACTTAATTTTTGTGAAAATGCCTCACCCAATTAGTCCAGATTTAAGGAATAAAATAATTGTTGCTCATCATCAAAGTTACAATTTCAATGAAATTGCATGTGAATTGAATTTATCTGTATTTACTGTGCGAAAATGGATTCTGAGGTATCAATCAACAGGCAAAAGCAAAACTCAACGATAAAATTAAGGTGCAAATCATGTTGAAATGGATAGAAGACCCATTCAAGCCAGCAACTGTTATTCGGAAAGAATTGGATTTGACAATCACGCCTAAAACCATCAACAATTACCCTAAATCAAATGGTGTGAAAACGTATCATGCTGCAACGAAGACTCGGATTAATGAAAAACAGAGGTTCGAGAGAATCAACTTCGCCACCTGGTATCACGATTTAGACTGGAAAAAATGCATTTTCATCGGATTGTGATGGCATTAAATGCGTAAAAAGGCCAATTGGAACTCGCTATGAACCAAAATACACCAATAAATCAGATCATTGCACCAGAAAAATTGTATCAACATGGGCTTCAATTACTTATGATGGC